AGCCGTCATTGTTGTTTGGCGGGTCCGGGCTGGGGATTCGAACCCGCCACCTTAGGTGTATGTGGCTGGTGCCTTAGCCCGTTGAGCTATAGGCGCCAAGCCTGTCATTGTTGTTTTAGTAGGCCCGAGCTGGGTTCAAACCCGCCATGGCACCTTGGTGTGTGTGGCTGGCACCCTAACCATTGAGCTATGGGCACCGAGCCTGATTTTTCCTTTTGTACTCACATTTTTGCTGTCATATGTAATAAGACTTTGATTAATCCAGAATCACAAAGATCGACTCTTGTTTTAGCTTTTACATTTAGATCTATGATACATTTTTGAGTTGATGTTTGTGTATCATGTAAGAAAGGGGTCCGACTTCAATCTTTTCTATGTGGATATCAGTTACTCCATCACCATGTGTTGAAAAGACTATTCTTTCCCACCTTAAATCATCTTTGCACCCTTGTCAAAAATCAATGGACCATAAATGTAAGGATTGATTTCTAGACTCTCAGTTCTGTTGATCTATACCGGGATCACACTGTCTTTATTACTGTTGTTTTGGGGTAATTTTGTCTTCTTTGTCAGGATAGTTTTAGCTATTCTGGACCCGTTCCATTTCCATAAGAATTTTAGGCTCAGTTTGTCAATTTCTACAGCAAATTGCACCTGGAATTCTGATAGGGTTTTTGTTGACTCTATAAACCCATAGAGGATGTGGCCACCTTAACAAAAGTAGGTTTACATGAATGGTTCTCTGTTTATCTAGGTCCTTAATTGGATGGGAGCTTGTCTGAAAAAGCTTCTCTGAAATGTATGTTCTTTTAATTCTGGATTTGGGTTACTGTCTCTACTTCCCTCGGGTATCATATCATCCCTGGAAATACGCTGCTTCTTCAGAATCACTCAGTGCTGACCTCTATTTTTATTTCTCTTCATATTTTTCAAGTAGCCTGTGATTCTCTGGCTGACACTGTGTTCAATACCGTGTGGACCTTGGGCTGCCGACCCTTCATGAATAGTCAGCGAGCAGCTTGCATCTGCGCAGAAGAGGAGAAAGAAGAATTATGAGGAAAAGGTTTTGAGTGACAGCACAGCCGTCAGGCTCAGAGATGGCAGTGTGACAGGGGGGTCTCCTCCTTTCTTCCAGCAGTCTGGATACCATGAAGCAGGAGAAAGGAAACATTGTTCTAGCATTGGAAACTGAGTCCTATCCTTTGAGAAAAATTGAAAAAAAGGCATGGAGTGATTTGAAGGCTACCTTCCCTTTAACGCCGCTCTTCCCAGCCAAGTCACGCTTACCTGGAAATTCACCTCTTAGCTTAAAGACTAAAATACAAGCAAACTCTGTAATTCCTGGACCTGATAATCATATTCACAAGTGAAATTTGGAGGAATCCAACCACTTAAGAGGCATTGACTTTCCTCTGGCTTGTGTTTCAGTTGCTGGTAAGCATCTCACATTTAATAAAGTATACTTTTTAGAAAATTTGAAAACAGGCGAATGAATTCCGTGATTGCCATATGCTTCCATTTTCACTCAGAAGAGACCAGAGCGCAGCCTGGTTAAGGTCCTCTAAGGACAACAATTACTCCCACTGGTGCTGAAGAGAGAAAAACAGGTGGACAAGGCCAATGGAGGTGAAGGTCAGATGGAGATAGTTCTCTGAGTTTTCATTGGCCCTCCAGTGGCCAACCCTGTTAGTATTCCTGGTTACTACGTGTTAGAGTCATGCTAACTCAGTGAGGGTTACCAGTGGAGAAAGCGGGTTGCAGGGAGTGAGAGACACACGGCCATTCCTCACTTGCTGCTCTCAGCCCCGATGATGGATTAGAATCACTAGAGGACCTTTCAAAACAAACCAATAAAGAATCTCAGGAAGGTGTGGGGGGTGGTGATGCTACGACCGGCATTTTGTGAATTCATTTCAGGTGATTCTGATTCACATTGAGGCCTGAGAGCCATTAATCCTGATCAGGAATTGGCCAACTAAGTCTTGTGGGGCCAAACCCAGCCCCACGCCTATTTTTGTATAGTTGTACTGGGATGCAGCCACGCTCACAGCTGTTGACGTATCACCTCTGGTTTCTCCTGCACTGCAATAGCAGAGTTGAGTAGTTGTGACAAAGACTGTGTGGCCCAGAGAGCCTAAAATCTTTACCAATTGGCCTTTTACAGGAACATTTGCTGACCTCTGATCTAAATAATTTTCTCCTTTCCCTTCCTTTTAATTTTACTGATTCGATTAAGAATTGTTAACTGTAGCAACTTTTAAAAAGAAAAAGAAGACAAATTGTTTTTCTGATCTTATGTAAAGTCAAAAAATTGGCATATCAAGAAACTGGATTTAGCTGCAGATAAAATTTATCTTTCTTTTTGATATTTATTTTAATTTATTAAGCACCTGCAAAGTACAATATGGTAAAACTTTATATTTTTTTTCTGTTGTTTTATTGGCCTGAAGGTATAGAATCCCAATAATAGGGCATATGATACCAAACTTTAATTTTGTTATGTTTCGTCATTGAAACATTTAAACACATGTCAATCAATTTATTCATATTATTAAGTGAAAGTATTTCACTTAAGGCAATATAAAAATATCAAAAGAAATTATGCAAAACAAAATAATGTTTTAACTGCACACTCTGTTACACTTTTAAATCACTTAGAACTGTTCTGTTTTCAAACTGAAATTTCAGGGCATCATTATTATTAATGTATTTAATGAGTCATTAAGTATTTAAGTCATAATTTAGTAACTAATTTTTTAAGGTTTCTAGCTTGAAATACTATACCGAACTTCTGATTTTAGTGATCCTAACACATCATACACGAGGTATTTAATTGTAGGCAAGAAATAAGGGAAATGGGATAGACTTCCTGCTGGGTAACAGCTTAGCTTTCACTTAGGGAGGGTGAAACCCCACCCAGGCCACGTTGTCCAGCAGCGTTGTGACCTGTGCTGACCCAGTGGACAGGAATCAGAGTGAGTCAGTTCTGGGAGAGTTTAAAGAGGTGAGGCGCTCCAGGAGGCTGGCTGACGTTCTTAGGATGTGGAGAGGAGCCCCAAAGTGGGGGAGACGGGGCACTCCAGGTGTGCCAATGAACTAGTCCTCCCAGTCAATGCTGATGGGGCCGCCGGTCAGCATCCGGCTCTGTAGACCAGCTGAGTCCTCGTCTTCTGCCTCACGACGCATCCGCCGGTGGCAACCCTGGGCACAGCGGGAGTGCTCGTCCAGCATCCCACAGACCAGAACCCGGCAGTGCAGAAACACTTCCTGGAGAGAGAGAGGGTCATGGTCATTAACAAAGACCCTGGTAACAGCTGCCACTTGTGGGGCATGACTGGGAGCCAGAAACAATTTTGAGTGTTCCAAAACAGTCTCATTTAATTTTGACAATAACTCTTTGAGGTAGAGGTTACCATCCCGTTTTATACCTAAGGAAACCGAGGTGCAGAGAGGTTGATGAACTTGCCTAAATTTACACATTTAGTAATAATGTGGCAAAGGTGGGATTGAAGTCTGTAGGTGATATTAAAAAACCACAGTTCTTCCTCCAGGTGTCTTACTCTGCCTAAAGCTTGCTCTGTCTAGTTGAGCGGGATCAGGATTTGCCACCATTGTTAGCAGTTGTTCTAGATATAACTAGAAAGGACAGGAATACACTTAAAGGCAGCGTGGAAAAGAATGAAAAGAAAAACTTCCTTTTGTTCAAATCTTTCAGCACCTATGGCAAAACAACAGAAAACTTGCACCTTATCTTATTATAGCCTTTTCTTTCTTTTTTTTTTTTTTTCTTGCAGTTTTGGCTGGGGCTGGGCTTGAACCCATATGGGGCTGGTGCCCTACTCCTTGAGCCACAGGCGCTGCCCCCACTATCGCCACAGCCCTGAATGACCTCTAAGCATATGTATACATTCTTAAATGGAGCATATTTAATATGCATGAAAATTGCTCTGACAATAGTTTTTATGTCTGTTTTTCCTGTATTCATCATTTTAACCACTACAGAAAGCAGAACAGTGGCTATGAAGGTTGGAATCTGCTAAGTGTGTAATAAGTCACCTGTACACCACCCCCCTTCTCCAAAGAAGCTGTAGCTTTTAGCCTCGCTTCTTTGGTGGCTTTTCTTTTACTCCCTTAGGATAATGTTCTACAAACATTTTCAACACACCTTGTTTTTGAGAAACTGTCAGAATTGGAATTTTTAGGTAAAAGATTATGATGAGGCCAGGCGTGGTGACTCACGCCTATAACCCCAGCACTCTGGGGGGCCAAGGCGGGTGGATTGCTTGAGCGCAGGAGTTCAAGAACAGCCTGAGCTGGACCAGGACCTCATCTCTAAAAATAGCCAGGGATCATGGTGGGCTCCTGTAGTCCCAGCTACTTGGGAGGCTGAAGCAAGAGAATCACTTAAGCCCAAGAGTTTGAGGTTGCTGTAAGCTATGACACCACGGCACTCTACCGAGGGTGACAAAGTGAGACTCTGTCTCAAAAAAATAAAAAATGAAAATAAAAAAAATGAAAGAATATGACTTTATGATTATTATTATTATTATTTTTTTGAGACAGAGCCTTAAGCTGTCCCCCTGGGTAGAGTGCCGTGGCATTACAGCTCACAGCAACTTCTAACTCCTGGGCTCAAGCGATTCT